TACACTGGCTTTGAAAATATTTCTGCATGATTTATTTAGGAATTTCACTAGGGTAAAAAAAAAAACAACCAAATGTGAGTTAACTTCTTGGAAGAAAACCCAAATCCCAACAGCAGATCAGAACAGGATAACATTCTGGATGGGGTTTGCTGTTTACAGAGAGGATTAGCTGTTCGGAGGATCAAATATAGAACAGAAATTGGATTTGTAAGCTGTGTTTTTTACCCATCCTATCTGAGAGCAAAATATAATGTGATTATTTGTAAACTGCTGGGTTGCAGAGTATGTACACAATGGTCCCTTAGTAATATCTCCATCACAGTCCTTAATATTGAAATTCTCCTCTGACTGGGAAATCCAGACAGAGTACCAGGGCTCTTTTTGAGACGGGTTTTTAAATCCTTGTCCTAGACCAGAGGTGGATACTATGGATTAAGACAACGGCCCCTTATTTCAGAAGAAGATGTTTCAAAAAATGCAGAACTGTCTCCAGGAAAGAAGTCAGTCCCGCAGAAGTGAGCTCTGGGCCAGGAACCAGCCATCCCCATCGAGTCATGCTGTCCTACTTCACAGTCACTGCATGCTTCATCAAAATATTATTTCCACTCCAAAAATCCTCAGTTATTATTCATTCTGCTTTTCCCCACTTTGCTTCACATTACTTTCCAAGGCAGACAGACACTGCCCGCTTAATTCAAATGGCTGCTTCTTGGTCTTGATGGAGAGTCATTGAAATAATCAAGCTAAGCATTCAGAGAAGACTAGATTTTCTGTTGTTTTTTTGGGGGTTAGTTTGTTTTTTTTCTGCACATGGTAGGAATTTTGCTAACAGTAACGAGGACAGAAATATGAAATAATGTTAACTCTCAAATGGGAAACGAATTGTTTGCAGATGCTGCGTCACTTTTGAGGAAAACATTATTCTCCTTCTGGCAGAAATCCAAGGGAAATGCAATTAACAGGGCTTATATGTGGCTGATTTTCTTCATGGAATTTAGTCATCGATCTGCAAGCTGAAGCAGGGGCCTCTCTTTCCCTTTCCCATGTGGTGTATCACTACTGTCGCTCTGCTTACACATGATTTTGGCTCTGCCTTTGCTTTCAGAAATTAAACTGGCAACTGAGTGCCATGTGATGACCGATCTTGAAGGAAACTCTCATACTACCAGGCAATATTGGAGTTCCATTGTCCACTCTTTCTTGTAGTGGTGTGACAGAAGCTGCATCCCTGGCTTTTTCGGGTTGTGCTGACTTGTGTGACTATGCACTTTTTTGACACATATTACGGGGAAACCTGTCTGTGCCCTATATACACATGATCTTTGCCCACTGCCACAGCTATAGAAACTGCCTGTCTCCCATCTTTGGCCTCTGTTATGCTCCATAACGTCTCAGTCCTGTCCTAAGCAGTGATATCTTCCAGTACCAGGTGTTAATGCAGGGAGTGAGGTGCTGTAAGACACATCGCAGCAGTGACTTGCCACCTTGGCATAGGAACGGGGACCTAAGCAAGACAATGACTATGGGTTAGAGACAGCTCAGACAGGTTAAGGGAGATGAAGTTCCTCAGTGCTGACTGTGGGTCTGGATCAGACTCACAAATAGTGCCAGGAAAGTATCATCATGGACACCCAGGTTGAACAGCAGTGACTTCAGGACATCTGCCCAAGCAAGGACATCTTCACAGGACTGTGTAAGAGACTCACTTCTGCACCTAGTGCCAACAGGGTCAACTATCCTCAAAGCTGCAGGTCAACCATCTTCCCCAGCCAAGGGAGAAACCATGTGTTCCAGATGGCTGAAGTATGGCTGCAAGCCAGGTGTCACTCTATTGCCTTCACATAGCTAATGTCCCTGCAATGATAATGGACTTTAGGCAAATAGGATTCCTATACTGTGCTGGAGCCATCAATAGTAAACAGTATTGTCCTCCCATCTCTCCAAAATAAATTCCAGTCACATTCCATCAGCACAACTGACATCGACTTTATTGGGAACATAAACTTGTGGACAATAACAGGAACAATTGCATATTGCTGGGAAATGTCTAAGCCTGGCTGCTTTGTTTTAGAACAGAAGGAAGTTTGTCAGAAAAGCTCAGCAGGTTGCAACAGCAGAAAACTTCAGTAGCATACACTCTTTGATTAAAAAAAACCCCAACAGCTGAAGACAACCATCCTGAGATGAGTATCAGAATGAAGTGGGTGATTCACAAATCCACTTTTAGCAAACTTAAGTAAAAATGCCAAGTATGGAAAGCTAAAAAGCATGTATGGAGATAGCTTATCATCTAGTATCTACAGTCTTTGTTTTGCTTCCCGCTCTTTGACTATTACATGGAGTAGAAGAAAGCATTAAAATTAATTCTCAATGCATTGGAAGCTCCTGCTGCTTTCTATGAGTCAGGCTGGCTTTCTTACCTTTAATGTTTTGTTGTTTTTGGTTTTTTTTTTAATCTTTTTCTCTCTTATCTGTCCTGGTCAATAATAATTGATTTCCAGACTAAGAAACCTCAATACCTGAAATAGCACTTCTGGCACATCACAAGCTTTTACCCTCTGTTCAGCCACAATTAACATCATCTGCTCAGTTACTGCGTGTACCAGTTGTATCCTCCAACACTCTGGCAGCCAATCTTAACAGCTATCACTCCACTAGGATGCTGTGTTCTGCTAGGAGCAGGGCTTCAGTCCTATCTGAAAACTCAACCGGCTATGTATTATTGCTTTGATTGCAGCTGTGTTTTAATAACCAAGGATCAATCACTGGGCAAAATAGGCTTTTAAAACACACCTGGGCATTAATCCCACCCATTTCCCCAGTAGCATTTACTAACTAACTCAGCAATCAAGTGTCTGGATGTTTTATAAAGTAAAGGTATTGTCTGATGCACCCTCATCTGGGGTGGAAAACAGGGAAGGTGGGTGTGTACACATGAATTGGCCACAGCCACCTCTTGAGGTGACCAATATTGTTTTCTCTGCCACAACCCCCCCCCGACGCTTCATTCAAGAGTAGGAGGGCTCCTCACCACCAGTGAAAACTGAGGTCTGAAGCCTTGCTTCAGCATCAGCTAGCGTGCCGGTGCGTTGCACCCCAGGCACAACAGGACTCAAGCAGGCTGGCCAGACCTTGCACTGTTGTCCCAACTCTCCTGATACTTTAGGCTCGTGATGTCCTGAGCTGTGGGCAGGCATTAGCAGCTCCTCGCTGGCAGAGCATCCTGCGGGCTCTCTGTTGCCGCAGCAGAGGTCTGGGTCAGCACCACACAACACCTCTGGGGGAGGGATTTCTCCTGCTGTCTGAAAGGCACCTTAGAAAAGGCACACAGAAACCGTGTGGCTGCAACACTACTATGATTTAGGAAATAAAACACTCGAAGGCCGAGGCTGCCAGAGTGAAGTTGCAGGCTTTAGCAACTCCTGGCACCTACACGCTTCAGAAGCATCTTTAATTAGATGATGACATGTTATTTTTCCTGCGTGGTCCTGGTCCCTCTGAACACATAAGGCCTGCTCGATAGGGAGAGAGCAGCAGCAGCCCCCGCTGCCTGCAGCCCCTGCCTCCTCCTGGCAGCACAAAGCAAGGATGTGAAAACAAACCGTTGGAAGGACATTCCAGGTGACATGTTCCTCATTTTCTGGGTCACCGTCCTCAAGGCTGATCTGTGGGCGTGCACACCCCCCATGGCCATGATGGACTGCAATAGAAACTGTGCCTGACTATATGGGATGCTACAGGTGGTTGCAGAGAGAGGAAACTAGAGTTTCCAGCAAGGCACTCACAAGGAGAAGATAATTTTGACCTTGATCTCCCCGTGCCTCAAACCTCGTCTGCAAAATATCACTTTCCTGCTCCTCCTGAGTTTTGCCATTAGATCTCCACAAGCGCCCTTGAGCTGCCGTATCTTGAAGCCAGAGGCTCTGTGGCTATTCATTCTTGGGAGGTGTAAGGGAGGTGAGCTCCAGCTCTGACCAGGGAAGTTGCCCCTCTCCACACCACCACCGCCACCTCCCCCTGCTCCCCACAGCCTGTGGCCACCCCTTTAACACCAGTGGTCCCCAGAAAAATCAGCCCTGCTGCTCACTGTTGTTCCTGGATTTGAGAAGAGACAGATCTGACTGCAGGGAGGTATTTTATTTCCATGGCAGGTTCAAAGCCTCCAGCATAGTCAATCAAAGGCACACAGAGAGGCATTCTGGCCCCCAACCCCAGCTGCAGAATTGGTTCTCAACCAGGGAGCAGGATCACCCACATGTCCTGGTGGACACAGGAGTCTTGGGGAAAATCGTGGCACGGCATGGTGTCATTGAAGGCTGTATCGCAACAGGATCAAGGGGACATTGGTCTCCTAGATATGCTGCTCGAACAGTCTTCTCTGCATAGGGACTGCCTGGCATGTGTGGAAGGGCAAGGGCATGAAGAGGTGTTTGGGAGCATGGGAAGGTAACAGTGGCAAATTTTGTAATTCAATATCCAAGCTCTGACCTAACAGCAAGAATGATACAGGCTGATATTCAGCAGAAAATTTGGCACAACTGGGAAGAAAACAACATCTGATCAGCTTAAACCTAGCTTAAGTTGGTGTAGTCCAAAAAGCAGTGCCTTTTTATACCATCCAAGGACCTCCCCAAATCTGGGCTGGTTTATTCCTAAATCTGGTCTCTTACATCCTTAAATTTGCAGTTGTTATCATCGTGCAGCAATACTGCGCTATGAGAAACCTTTTGCTCTAAATTCACATACGTTATTGCTCTACTTCTGAACAGTGCGATTAGGTCTCCAGAGCTTGCTTGCTTTATTGAAAAAGACACAGATATTAAACAAGAGTGGAGAAATACTCCAGCTCACAAGTCAAATCAGATAATTGAAATGGTAGGATGAGCCTTAAAATTAGCCTAGTTCACGCCTGAATAGAGTTCATATCTCACTGGGAACTGACTGTCCTTTCTTTTCTTTGTCTTCATTTTTTTTCCCCCTGCTGCTGTTCAATTTGGAAGGTGATCTTTAGTAAATACTGCAACTCCAAAGATATTATGGACCTCTTCTGTATTGCAACAGGGTTACCAAGGTAGGTCTCCCTTTTCATTTGTGACATTCATTTCACTTTTGTTCCTTTACTTCTGGGGACGATTTAAAGACAGGCCCCAAGTGAATAATTTACGTGCTTTTCAGGCTTCTCTCTTGTTCCAGTATATTGGAAGAAGAAACTGGGGCAATCCAGAGAGCACCAGCTGGAAATGTGCACGAAGCTCTGGCAGGCGTTGAGCTACATCAGTGTCGGCTGCGCCTGAGGAACAAAGTGGAATAGAGCAGAACAGAGAGATACAGTCTAAAAAAATAAAAGCAAGTTCAGAAGCCCAGCCCTGAGTGCACACAGGTTGTGTGTGCCTACCAGTTATATCGCAGCACTACATTTTTGCCCATATTGAGTGAAACACAACCATATGTTTAGAACTTGTTTTTTAGGGAAAAATCTGGGACCAATGAGAAGTATTGCCACTAGGTGATAAGCTTTCTATTTCGATACTGTTTAAGCTAATCTGAGGTATGGGATAGTCAAACACAAAGTACCCTAGCAGAACCATTTTATAGAATATAAATATCCCCAAATCCATTGCTCAGGCCAAGTATTTCCTCATTTATGTTGTCCTGCAAAGGCCATGCATGTCTCCTGCTGTCATTTCCTGTAAGGGTTTGTTTGTTTCTCTTACCTTCAACAGCAGCATCCAACTTAAATCTCTGTGTTGATAGGGATGCAGGGTCAGGTGTAGGTGTGTGTTGGGGTGGGGGAGGCCGGTGCATGGTGGAGGGTGGGACCCAGCCACTTCTGCACTGCCTGTCCGGGGTGGCCGTGCAGGGGGAGGGAAGCCCCTTAGTCACGTCTGGAAGGGGGCATCTGCTGTCTGCATACAGACCTTGAGCAGCACAGGCCAGATGCACAGCAGCATGCAATAACCCATAGTCTTTACCTTTGCACATCAGGTTTACAATACAGAAAAAGCACAGGAAAAAAAAAATATCCCAATCCTTTAATCATGGATTTATTGCATAACTCCAGCTCTGGAAATTGAAAAATAAAATTGTCTATATTGACTCAGAATTTGCATAAACTGCTGGACAGAATTAATGCCCTTTGATGTTTATCCAAGCTATTTCCTCCCATTTGACATTAGAGAGGTTAATAACTCTCATTTGCCTGTGATGTCAAATACTTCTGCTCTGTCACCCAGGAAACTTTGTTTAGCAGTTTTAGTGATCCATGATCAGGGTGTTCATTGCATATTTGGCATTTTATTTTCATCAGATGACTTCCAAAGAACTGTGTATTTCAATCAGGCTCCTGGACCTGAAGTAATCCAAGGTTTACATCTGAGCCTAAAAAAAAAAAAAAAAAAAAAGACCCCCATATTCAGCTAGACTTTGCTTTGTTTGTTTTGGTAAAAGAGTAATTAAATAATTTCAAGACATTCACAGCATGGGTAGTCATTTGTATAGTCTGAGTCAATACGTTGCTGCCGAGTCAATGTATCACAAAACATTGCTTTTAACAGCAATGATTAGTTGATGAGTCAACAGAATACATGAGTTATCAGGGAGAAAAGTCTGCTCTGAGAGCAAAGATGATCACACTTAACATTTTGCCAGAACCATCTCTGGTAATTGAAATGAGTGAAGCATCAAGCCTACCCTGTCCTGTGCTTTGACCCTTTCTGCATAAAGGTAGAATGTGTCCAAGAAAGTGCCAGGCCAGGCCAGGAGTGCTGCAGGAGAGAAGACGGCTATATAGGCACTGTATGCAGCAGCACAGAATTTCAGCCAGCATTTCTAGGTGAAATAAACCTCTTTGAAACATGGTTTTCAGGAACACAACAATCTCCCTTTTGACGGCAGACAACTGTATGGTATCCATTGATCCGACAATGCCTGCAAACTCAGAGAGGTAAGTTTTGCTGCAACCTGTTCTTCAAAAATACAGCCAAGCCCAAGGGAAGGGGTGGTGGTTGCCTGCAGATGCCTTTTGTGTGCAGCAGGAGGTGAGCAACTCCCTGGGAGGGAGGGAGATGACAGTAAGAATTGCATGCTGGTTTATAACACTAATGCCTACTGGTTTTGAAGATTTTTAGTTGTTATTAAAGGAGGAGTAATTGTCTGAGGAAAAAAATACCACTTTTAAGCATTTAATGTAGAATATCTGTTCCCATCCCACCCAGTTTGCTGTCAAGGCTCACAGCTCCTTTGTTCCCCCGCTCCTTTGTTGCTCTGCTAGGACACAACCACAGCATTACTTGCAAAGGGAAGTCGAAGTCTTTGATGAGGTTAGGTCTCTGCTCTGTCACGCTGGCTTTGGCCCTTCCCACCTCCAAATCTTTTTCCCTTTTTCTCTTTGGCTTCTTGTTGCTTGTTCAACATGGCACTTTTAGTTTCACTCTGACTGCTTGCAGTTACTTCTGCTGTTGTTTACTTCATTGCGTATTTCATCATCACATCACTGGCATTGCTCTCACTGACACCACGTGATGGAACCCCAACAACTGGGAGAGATCTGCTGCACTGGACAATGTGCAAACACAGAGCAGCAAAAAGATGATCCCCGCCACGGGAGCTCCCTTCTGACCTACAGAATTTACTCACCATCTCAGTCCACAAGCTATCTAGGCTTGCCAGAGAGGAGGCTTTTTTACCATGTTCGTTGCATGACCATAGAGCACAAGAAAGATCTCTTTGCCTCTAGTTTAGTAGTGAATCAGAGGGTTGTGTGTTCATAAAAAGTGCCTGTTCCATATTTAACAGGTTTTAAGAGAATTTAGAATACATTCAGATACTTATTCAGATACTTCTTCCTACTTCTCAGGGAATATGGATTTGGAATACAAACTGATTTCTGAGTGTTGCTAACATTAAACTTCTTTAACTCTTCCAGGTCTCCATACAAAGTGATACCTGTTGCCTCTGGGCAGCTCTCAGGTAAAATGACCCTTTTGAATTGCATTTATTAAAGCTGAATTTGCAAACATTTGCATGTGGAAATTACGTGGCTGTGATACAAGAAAGCTGATGCTGTTGGGGTTGTAGCTGTGGCAAAATAAGAAGTGTCTGGTCACAATGTTCTGGAGGAAAGTTAAAAATGTCCCCAAGTTTCAAAGTATTTGAGGGTGAGGTGGAATGGCTTGAGTCCAGGGGACTTTCACAGTGCTTAGCTCTGGTCTGGCTCAGCACCACTGATCTCATGGGGTAAGTCTTGCTTGGAGCAGTGTTTTTTTTCAGGCAATGCAGACTGTGTTTCAAAGCCTGTCCTGCAGTGTTTTGTTAAACTTGTGTATCTCCCAGCAAGGCTCTGCTGGAAAGCTGAGCACAACATTTGAACGCCATGTTATTTCCAAATGGCTGAGGAGAGAGCATAATTTCTGTTGTGGGCATAGTAGCTCTAAGTGTAATAAATATTTAAATACACCTGACAAGATTAAAGAAGGCCTAGATGAAAGCACCTCTGGAACACATTCCCCAGTGTGCAGCGCTGTTGTGCTCCACAGACAGGACTGAAGTGGCAGTTGTACCATTTCTCTTTGCCTGCCAGTGTCATGCTCAGGCCAGTTCTCAGACACTGGACCAGAGCATTTGCCTGGGGCAATTCCTGTAGAGCATCTGGCTCACCATCTCTCGCATCTGTTCAACTACAATATCTCCTGCCACTTACTCTAAGGCAGCCTGAGCAGTAGCCCTAGCCTGTACACTGTAGAGCTGTAGGGAGGAGCTGCAGGAGGAAAGGAGATGTCAGCTGGGGACACAGTCTGGAGCAGTAAAATGGGAAGATAGGGCAAGAAGTTGAGATTATCTTGGAAACACAAAGTGCACATAAAAAGCAGGGGGGAGCCAGAAAGTCTGGGGCTGGAAAAAGTAGTTTGCAGGAATGGGTGAGGCTCTTGGGACAGGGGCAAGGCAGTTCTGCTGGTCCCACCACATCTTCTTGTTAATGCTAATTGCAGGTCCCACCTCTTCTTGCTTAGGCTCCTGTATTATGCAAGAAAACATAGTGTCTCACAGCACTCTTTTTTTAGGTGAGGAGGAGCAGGGAACCAAAGCCACCCTCTGAGGTACCCACATCTGCTGCGGCAGAGGCATCCGTAGGAAAAGGGCACAGAAGGCAGTATAGGAGGATCTGCAGGGGGCTGGTGAGGTAACGGTGAGGACTTTGTGTATGCAGAGAGCAAAGGGGAATGGACAGCAAAAAGAAGAAAGACTCTAGGAAACAGGGAAGAACTTTCTCACAGTAAGATTTGTTACTAGCCATAAACAGGCTCCATGTCAGTGACTGCCGCTGCTGCCAGAAGGAGGTAGTCAAAGCCGAGGGATGCACGTTGACTGCTAAGGGAAAGAAGCTGTCTCCTAAACTATTTCCTTATTGTAACAAACTCTGCCAGAACAGCATCACTCTTCTGGTCCAAGAGTACACTGTTTGCATGATCAGATCAGAAAATGTGGGGTCTTAACTGGAGCATGTGTCTCTGTGTACCAGCTGGCATGGGTAGCCAATAGCCATTTGCCCCAAGAGAGAGAAAGACAAGTACATGGTGGCAGCGAGGCTCCATGGGGGAATGCCACCGTGTTAAACCAGCTGGGAAGCTGATTGAAGGGCCTTCTAGAAAAACCTATCCTTTTTTCCTAACATGACACTAACTGTATATTGTTATAAGACCATGTATGAATTTACACATTCTCCCAGGGCCCTCATTTTTCACCCCAGCTGACAGAACATGGCTCTGCTTTGTGCAGAGTGCAGCTCACTGTGTCAGCAAGGTCTCTTTTCCCTCCCTGCATTTTATAAAACAAAGATTTCCAAAGATCTAAGCTGAAAAGGGCAAGAAAATTTCTAGTGGTAGTTTGCCAAAGCATAAGACAGAGTCTGCTATGGAAAGAGGAGGAAAGTTGAACCGAGTGTGATGGAACTAATGTTCCTTGGTATCTGTTTCTCTTTCACATGGGTTGTCATTAATCCTAAGCATTCCTGACATTTTGCTGAGAGTAGGAAGAATAAACAGAGTGGGAAATTGTTCCTCTTCATTAAAAGAAAAAAAACAGCTCCATTCTAGTACTCACTTCTTAAACAACTCTGCCTGCGTGATTCCGCTTCCCAGAGCAAGTCATCCAAATGCATGCCAAAAAAGGGGTCACCCCAATTTTCATGACAGTGGGAGGTAATGCACCTCTTTTCAGCAGTTTCCCAGGCAGCTGGAAAAGAATGACGCACACTTCGGTGGAACAAAAACTGCAAAAGGTGGGACTGGAAAATACAATCCTTTGGGAGGAAAATATAAGCAGTGGCTTTTATCCAGCAGAGGAGATATCCACCAGAGTCCTGCTAAGAAACTCTTCATTTCCTGGCCATAGGCATGGGAGAGGGTTGGAATTAAAAAAATTATTATTCCAGTGAGTGTCTGTTGGATGCAACGGCATTTGCCGTATCACTGCGGGGTCAACTGTCTGCAAGGCAAAGGCTGGAGCCCAGCTGGCTGGCCCTGAGCCTGTGGGGCCGTTGCATCACGTGCTGTCCCTCCTCCTGTGGCCCCAGACCAGAAGGCGCATGGCCATCCAAGAAGAGCATCAAACCCCCAGTGCCTTCTCTCAAACCCTTTCCTTCTCTCTGGGGTGTTTAAAGACCTAAGCCCATCAAATGGGCATCTTCTCCCTCCTGGAGGCAGAAAGGCTGCGGTCTGCGCAAGAACAGACTCAAAACTCACAAACCGATGATGTGTTGTGGCTGTAATTAGTAGGGTTCAGGAACTCTGCAATATTGCCAGAGATGCCAATTAAATAACAAATCCTACTAGCAGCACACTCTTGAGAAATAAAATTGAAGTCTGTTACGTTGCTGATAGTGCAGAGAAAGGAGTTATTGTGAAGCTCAAGTGAGCCTGATCCACCATGGTCCTGTATGAGGCAGTGTGCGGGGGAACATGTACAGGGGCTTTCCTATCGCTACAAAGTTAGGGCAGCAAAACACACGGGTGCCTGAACAAGCCCGTGAAGATCTCACCAGGGATGTGACCTGAAAGAATATAAGATGTGCCAAGCTCAGCCCCAGTTCTCTCTGCACCTCTGTAACTAGCTTGTTCTGGTGAGTCCTTAAACACAAGCATCCTCTCATCCCTGGGTAAATGGGTGAGGAAACCCAAAGAGAGCAGTGCTTGGTTGGGATGGAGGCCAGCACGTGGAGAGAACTCGCCACCTGCCACTCCTTGCTCAGCAGCCTCAGCGCCAGGGAACCCTGCCAGCACGCATTGGAGCTGCTTGGCCAGGGTGAGGCTGTAGGCAGTGCCTTCTCCTCCCGCTTCACTTGCCATTCAGTTATTTGCCTTTTCAGCTCACAATACTACTTAGCACTTGCACAGAGGAAAGCCCAGGGTCTCTCCCCAGGGACATCGTCTTGCAGCAGGGGACCTGGCTCATCCAAGACCTGTGTAGCTGCCAAGGCCCGTGTCTGAGCCAGTGCTAACCCTGCCTTGCCGACTGCTGAGCCCACCAATTGCACCAGAGATCCGTGGGGACTGCTTTTTCCCCCTGAACGATTAAATACACAACATCTTGTGCAGATTGCTATCGGTAAAGCGACAGAAGTTTGTCACTGTGTCTAAATCTTATTCTGGGATCTCTCTCTTCTCCTTTTGGGGGCATATTCACGCTTGCAGCTAAGGCAAGAGTGAAGAGGCAGAGACTGTGAGAGAAAAGTCCCTCTCCCACCTGCTGCTCTTTACATGCATCCCACATGGACGTGTGTATCAGGATGGGGCCCACTGCTTCAGGATTACTCACCTCAGCAGGGACTTGCATGCGACAGCCCAAATTAACCTGAGTTGTCAACTGAATTTGGTGCTCGATTTAATGTGATTCATGGATGAGGGATTGGGCTTGAAGCACACCCCTTCCTGAGGCTTTTGTCCACCTGATTTTTTCTTAAAATTCCTCTGACTGCCCAGATCCAGACAAACCAGTGAAACAGTGAAATACAGACAGGAGCCTGAGCCAGAGGCACAAGCACTGTTGAGAAAGGCACTGTGTAGCAGGAATTCATCAGCCTGGCAGGGAAAGGCAGACGCCCACGTTCTCCCAGCCTTGCTTGGCCACAGCAGAAAAGATGAGGGGGGAACCAACCCACCCCCACAACCCCACACACTTCTGCTTGCACCTCGTTGAGGCTGGCAGGATAGTGAGGGGAGCTGGGGAGTGCAGGAGGATGGAAGTGGCTCCCTGGTTGTGATCCCAGTGGGTAAGATGGGCGAGGAAAAGTCACTGCCGAGCAGGGCGGTGTGGAGCAGAGGGTGCATGCCAGTGGGTTATAGGCCATCTGTGTCAGTGCACGCGTAACCTGAGCTGCCCCAGCGCGTACCTAGTCCCTGTCTGGCAGGAAAGGTGTGCGCTTGCTGCCAGCCCTCCGATCTGTCCGCGGCGGGAGTCACAGGAAAAAGTGCTGCTGCCATATTCCCCGGCACTTGCTTTCTGACCAGACCTGCTGGAGACAGGGCTGCTGGGAGGGAGGGCAAAATGGCTCCTTGCTCCGTGATGCCCAGGCCAAGCTCCCTGCTGAGCTTGGCAGGGGCCTGTGGGCAAGGAGCCAAAGTCCCTGTGCCCTCAGTGAGCATGGGAATGAGCCATGGGAAGCCTGGGGAGACCTGAGCTGGCCTGTCCCCTGTCCAGCAATATGTTATTGTAGCATCTTCTGGAGGTGTTTTTTTTTTCCTAATTTTCATTTGTCAGCTCTAATACACCCTGCCTATTGTGCAAAAATCTGACTTTCTGAACACCTGCATTTGCAAACGTTGCACATTCACAGTGCCAGCAGGAAGTGAGCTGAGAAGAGGGTTGCTGTTGGCTTTTGGGTTGTTGTACGCAGGAGCTGGTGACCCTCTGCAGGGTGCAGAGATTGCAGCTGCCCATGCTACATGAAGTAGGATTTCCTTTTCACAGAGGGAATTGCAGCAAAACAAATGAAGCAACTGAGGGAAAAGGTAGCTGCCTGCACCTGGGGTATCAGCCTTGCCCAGAGGTATAAAAAAATAAGAGAGTAATGAAGGGGGAAAAGGGACACCTAGCCTTCCTTGTTTTATAAGTAAGTGGACAAGTGAGTCTAAATGATGTTGGTACGATGTCTCGTTTTCTTCAGAATCAGGGGTTAAGAGGTCTTCCCCTCAGAAAGGAACGAGGTAAAGAAATGGATCTTTGTCTCTTTAAGATGAGACGAACTGCCACTCTTAGTCATATATCTTTACTGCACCCTAGGGTTATAAAAACATACATCTTCGTTTTGAAAGTCTTTTATTACATCCATAAACATCAGATTGCAGCTGACTGTTCCCTGGATGAGAATGTCCTAGTACTCCAAGTGAGTTTTGACAGGGGGAGGGAGTGAAAGTAAGATTGGTGTGGTTTTTTTTACTGGAACCGTGTTTATAGGGAACTTGTCAGTCTCTGGCATGCTACAGCCACTGTCAGAGGGCTGCGCAGCATCGAAGTGAGAGGACACGGGTTTCTCTGCTTATTTTCACTGTTGGACTCGGTTACCATCCCAGGTGCTGCGTACGGTAAGCTTTCCTCCTGTCTTGAATAGGATGCAGTATTTACTTTGTTTCCAATTAATTTTGTGAGAAAACTGAAAAATGGGTCTCTGTGAAAGAACTAATCTCTTCATTTTCTCTGCTAGCTGCTCCACCGGGAGTCGGATCACGGGAAAAAAAAAAAAAAAAAAAAAAGAAAAAGAGAGAATTAGATCTGAGATTTTCAGAGCACAGAGTGCTTGCTCCAATTTAGAGACATGGGGTTAACAGCCAGATTGTTTTGACCAGCAAAGTGAACGCTCTTGACAAGTATTCCTGACAGCTCTAATACCTGAGCAATTGCAAATCCTTTCAACAGGTACCAGAGCTATTATTTAGAAATATGGTGTAAATGCTGGACTGTATTTCTGTGTTTTGCCTGGATGATTGCATTCATGAGGCATTGGGCTCCCTCAGGCAAGTGCAAGAAGTAGCTTCAGAAATGCCATCAGGGTATTTCTATGTAGGGTATAAATGGGTGTTCTGTAATCTGTGGTGTGTGTATATGAGAGCATGAAATGTTTCCACTCCTTGAGCATGAGAAACCAAGAGTACATCCACATTGCAGGCATGAGAAAGGCTGCAGCACAGTGCAGTTTAAATTAGGTGGTGGGGGAAAGTGGGAGCAATCTTGAAACAGCAGCTCACAGCTCAATAAAGGTGATTTATGCTTCCCCTGTCTGTGTGAACACAGTGTGGACAGACTGAACGGTGGGAAAACAGTGCTATTGTACTTCTTCCTTCCTAAAGGGTACTGTCCCCCAAAAGCTTGTTTTAAGGACTTGTTTGTTTGTCCCTTCATTAGTGATTGCAGTCCTGTGATGGTCTTGGGAAGGGGCTGGGGCTTCTTCAGGCTCTGTCCCGAGCCAGCTGAAGCTCCCGAGCGCTGGAGTTGGCAGTGGGAGGTGGGGAGCTACCGGCACGAGCGCACCTAGCGCAGCCACTGCCACAGCAGTGCAGGCAGCAATGGGATCCCGGCGGGATCCCCACGGCGGCTCTGTCCAAGTTATGTTCTCAAGGGAAAAGGGTTTGGGAAACTTGTGCCCTGTTGTGTCCATCCCATGAACCAGGAAGGGCAGACCTCATTCTGCAATGGCAGCCACTTTGCCATCTCATGTTTGCCTGAAGTTTGTGCTTAGCCGTACAATCCTTATGAATTTGCACCAAAAAATTGGTCTCCGGGATAATGTCCCAGTGTAAATCTGAAAAGCCAGCCGGGTTTTCTTGTGTTCATAAGTTGTTGCATTTTTTGCGGGCACTCTGGCACTGTGTGCTTCTGGTGTAGAGGCAGTCCTCGTGAGCCAGACCTCTCAAAAGCGGACAGCAGTTCTGGGTGTTCCACAAAAGAAATGTGAAAGGGGTCTCCTTTCCAGAGAGTGCTGCCTTAAAACAAGCCACCTCTCAGACACCCAGCACCCCCAAAAAAATCTTCTGAGAAAACTTGACTGTAATCTGCAGGCAGAGAAAGGCAGGTGACACGAGATGTCATTCCCAAATGCTGTCACTGTTCAAAGGACCAGAATGACTTTATGGCTAAATGCTGGAAGTCTGAGGATGCTACTTTGCGGGGGGGTTGAGAGTGTCTTCTTTCCTCTGTCATTTTCTGTTATGTCTCCCTCCTATTTTTTTCAGAGAAAGAAGAATTGTTCCAGAATTTATTGGGACAAATTGCTGAGCAGTTCTCAAGGTAAGAAGCTGAAAATCATTATTAATTTAAAATGCTATTTCTTTTATCAGCCTGAAGTGAAATTTTCACAAGATACAGAGGGGCATTTAAAATCTCTTTCAAATCCCACTCTTCCTGACAAATTTAGACCTGGTACACATGTTATTTCCTGCTGACAGCAATGCAGTAGCTTAAACCAAAAGCAATTTGGGTGATTATCTTTGATCTAAAAAGGAGATCAAGTAGTAATTATAAATGTTCTTATTGTGCTCCTGCCCTCTTAGGAAGCAAAAGAAATGCTTCTTCATTGAAAAGTCTAATCATCTGATGTGTTCCATTTTTCCCTTTATCCCCAAAACGTGTCTCTCCTTGAAGAGGATTTCTCAACATCTGTAGAGCTGCTTATTTTATTCCAGCTGGTTTCACTACAATGCTACCGCAGCTCAGCAAATCACCAGCATAACTCAAAAGGAAGAGGGTCTCAGAGTGTGCAGACACCAAGATGCTGCTCTTAGGCGAAACATTATCAATTTAACTTTGCTTCCCTAGGGGATACAATAACAAGTCACTGTCGGGAGAGGGGGGGTGAGCAAGTGTTGCAGAGCCACGGTACATTCCCAGGGCCATAACAAAATCATTCGTTGTTAATTTTTCTGAAAATGAAACCCGGGTGTATTTTCTGCTCAAAGTTTAGCATTTCCATGGAAAATTTTCTTTTCCTTGTGGCAACCGCAGTTGGACAGATCAATCCTCTGAAAAAATATAGACTTTTCTAGCCAAAGTCCTTTGAACCTAGGGTAGGTACGGCACTAAATGTATAACATTAATACATGAGGGTTTTCTTTTCAGGGTTTTTAAAATCAATGAGCTGAAAACGGAAGTAGCTAATCACTTGGCAATGCTGGAGAAAAAGGTTGAATGTGAGTGTCCCTTTATTCATATCTCAGTGGGAACCGGTGACTCAGAAACCCCCGACCTCGCTGCCCTCATTGTGTCCCCCTCTGTCCCACGGCTCACAGCCCCTATGCTTTCTCCAATCGCTAGCAATTTGTCTGGCCTTGAGCCCGAAAGGCTTCAGGCCAGCCCAGGATGAGGCGCGGGGAAGGTGGGAGCCCGTGGTCACGGTGGCACCCACCAGCGGGGCGAGGCCAGGGAGGGACGCCTGCTGTTGTGGGCATCTGGAGCGCCTCCCGGCCGCCCCTTCGAGGGGCCATCAAGTACTCCGCCAAGCTTTGGGCCCAGACCCACATCCCCCTGCTACCATGTCTCCACCGCCCGCCTCCCCAAGCCCCCCAGCCTGCCCTCCCACTGTCTCTTA